CAGCCCTATGCACGGAGTCCCTTCCCACACACAGATCACCTGGACCCACCAAGATCTAGCCCCGCCCTGCCTGAGTCCTGCCCATCCCTCTGTGTCTCTTGTCTTCCAAAGCACATAGCACAGGTCCCTCCGGTGTGATGACTGTCGTGAATCATCCAGAACCTTCTATGTCTTGTATACCTGTCAGTTCACAGACTTTGCTGCTGTCCATGTCCCTCAGCTTAAGTACAACAGGCCTGGTATCGCCTCCTCCACTTGCCCACAGTCTTAGGACAGAGGGCACTTCCGGGCACGTGGAGCTCATGGTCTTCCCTGCGTGAATGTAACGTGTGGAGCTCGAGTCCTCGTGTGCTGCGCTCAGTGACTGAGGGAAAGGCTGGGTGGGTGGGGGCGGGGCGGGACTGAGGGGCTCCCCAGTCCTCACACCTTCCCTCAGCCGGGAGCCCTGCACACCCCCCTCCCTCTCCTTCCTGCCACAACCCCTGCTGCCCCCATGAGGGTCAGGATATTACACTCTGTGTTACAGAAGGGACACACAGTATGTCCACAGAGCACATGGATAACAGAGCAGAACATCCACAAGGCCCTCTCAGCAGCTGTCACATTCTGACTGAGGACGAGGGTGTTAGGACCCAGGGGAGGTGGTCAATTTAGTCTGGGAGGTGTAATGAGTTGGTGAACTTTGAGTTAAGGAGGTTGCCCTCCAGCATGTGGAGAGGCCTTGTCCAGGCCATGGGAGGTCTGAAAGGAACAGGAAGCCTGACTCCGGCCCGCAGCCCCTGGAAGAGGGGGGTCTCCAGCAGCGGCCTTCACAGAGCATGGGCACCGCAGTCTGCGGGGCCCCAGCATGACGGCCTGCTCGCAGGACTTGGACTTGGCAACCACCACAGTCACGTGAGCAAATATTTTACAATAAATCTGTCTGTCTGTCTATCCAGGTATGCTCTTTCTATCCCCATCATCGAGGTGTGTTTCTCTGAAGAGCCCTGAGTACAACAGGAGGGAAAGGAAGGCTAAACGGAAGGTGATATCTGCCCGGTGTAGGAGGCCCACAGGCTCTTGGCCAGTGTGGCAAGAATACCTCTGCCCCCCTCCAGTCCCCTGGTCCTGCTCTGTCATCTGTGCCCTGTCCCCACTCACGGCCTCACAGTGGGACCAACTTCCAATAGTCACACACACACAGAGCTCCGGATCCCTGTAACGTCTGCTCGATTTGTGCTGTGGGCCTTTCAAACTCACCGCTGGTTTGCAAACCTCTGATTTGATGTCAGGCAGTTTCTCTCTTGATCTCGTCCCTCAGGTCCTTCACAGTCCCTCCGCTTCTTCTGGGCCTTTCGGGCATTCACCTTCACCCCCAGAGAGCAGGTTGATTTAAGCTTCTCACTACTGCAGGTATGATTAAGAATAGTGTTTCCATGACCTGGTCTTGAAGTTTACACCATAGACGTCCATTAGGACTTATGTTGAGTTTGTAGCAAAGAGAGGGAGCATCTGTGAAAAAAAATGCTGGTAACAGTTGGGTATGAAGCGAAATGACCCTTCATACACCGCCCCCCCCCCCAGCATGTCTGTGACAGCAGGAGAATCCCCCTGCTGGCTGGGCTGGCACAGCAGGGACTGACCCTGCCCAGCCCCTCCCCTCACCAGGGGAAGGACAGTGCCCCTCCCTTGTGTGAGGAGGACCAGGAGGCCTCTGCCTGGCTGGGAACCACACATTTCCAGATGCGCCCTCTCTGTGCCCACCAGGCCCACGCCCAGCCTCAGTTGGGGCCAACAACACAAGGCCGTGCCAGGCTGGCTGGGGGGCAAAGGTCTGGATGCTGGAGGATTGTCACAGACAACACAGTGCCCTGTGGGGAGAGGGCAGAGTGTGCAGGGTTCTGGCCCTGGGGAAGCAGGGTGACAGTGCTGGCCTGTTGAGGCGAGAACCCAGTGTTAGGGGAGTGCTGACAGTTCTGGGTGGAGGGACTTGGCAGAGCCCTGGGAGATACGGCCAACCTGCTGCTGTGCTGGGTCCCGGGGGTTTCGGAAAAGCACTGGGTGTACAGCATGGAGGAGAAGATGAGGAAATCCAAGGTAGGTGGTACAGGATGGGGTTACAAGGCCCCAGGAACACATATGCCAGAGTGGGTATGGTATTGCAAAGCCAGAACGAGCATGAGCTGTCTGCCCACTGTGCTCCAGGGAGAGGAGGGCTGTTTGTGCATGGAGCTTCCAAGGACGCTGCCGATGATGACGTTCACTGTGGGCCACCCGAGAGTGAGTCACTTCTGCATATGGGTCATTTTGAATTAAAGTTGCTTAAGAACAGCTGGGCAAGAAGAACACTCTGACCGTCTTTTGTTCCCCTAAAAGCAAGGCACCCTGCCTGTACCAGGAGGTAGAGGGACATCCTTAGCACAACACACAGGGAATTTAGAGCCACGAATCCATGTAGACAAACCTGATCTCTGCGTTTCAAGTTTACTCCTCCAAGCTCAAACTCCTGTCTGTTCAATTCTTGACAGATTATTGTTTCTTTGTCAAAGGTCATAAAAACTGCCTCCTTTGGGCACTTCAGAGAGTCTCATATTTCTTTGACCTAAACTTGGTACCAAATTAGTTTGCTTTTCACATTTAATGCAACTGATGTTCATTTAATTTTTAGACCAGCTGGAAGACCCTAGGAGGGTAGAGGAAATATTCTTCTTCCCTGACAGTGGGAAGGGCCCCAGCATTTTGGAGAAGCTCAGTGATGGCCGTTCCTGATGGCCGGCTTGGCAGGTGGAGGTGGTGTTCCAGAGACAGGCGCTCACAGTGAACAAGCACACACAGCGCCACTATTGAAAAGGTCACAAAGGTTGGAGTGCCAACCAAGGGCCCTGCCCACAGAAGACTATGCCTTTAGCTCATAGAATGCATTAGTCCTAGAGGCAAATGGGTGAAAGCCAACCCCGAGAGTGCTGGATTTAAATGATAAAATGAAAAAAAAAACCCCAAACATAAATAGGCAGCTAAAAGCAGCCTCTCAAGAAAGAAGCTGGATCCTTTGTCCAGTTTCCAGATTTGAGCCACTTCTGAGACCTGGAACCCATTACTAGGAGGAGTGGGTGCGATCCAATCATCAGGGACCTGTCAAATTGACAGCAAAGGCCATGTGGCTACTGAGTTGACTGAGTGTGTGCACCAGGGAGCAGAAAATACCCAGACATTGACATTGAGCCTAGTATGTGAGCTGACGTCATCCCCAGGGACCAGAAGTATCCTCGCTGGCCCTGTTAGTACAGTGATGCATGGGGTTCAGTCTCAGGGAATAAATAGACAAGTGTCCCCCAGGTCCTGCACACACAGGTGTCATTTGGTTCAGCAATTCCCACAGTGTTCACTTCACATTGTCTGAATTTGTAACAGGAATAGAAAATCCTTTTGTTAGTGAATTACTTGTGGCACGAGGGCTACACAGTAGGGAAGTTCAATGATCTCCTCCTTCCATTTTCTCCTCTTTGCTCCAAATGGATTGCTAAAACAGTATCTTATCCTCAATGAAATAACAGAGAAGAGTACCAGCCTCAAAACCTCTAAGGAAGCAGGGGTGTGTCGCGTCCTAGCTCCATTTAATTGCCAGCCTGGTGGGAAGACTGTGTATAGGTGGGCATCCATGAAATATCTCAGGCTTTGCAGACAAGAGTCTGTTGCAACTACTCAGCTCTGATGCTGAGGCATGAAAGCGGTGATAGCCAGTAGCTGAATGGATGGATGTGGCTGGATCTTGTTCTTGGGCCATAAGACCAAGCAGACCAATGACACAGAGGTATCTGTGGTAGGGCAAGGTGCGATGGGGACTTCATGGCATCCCTAGTGGAGACTCACAGCACAGTCTCCCAGTGCACAGAGGTAAGGCCATGTCCCTTGCAGCAGGGAAATGCCCACCATGAAAAGAGGCTCCTGGTAAAGCAATGGGGCCTGGTTGAGACAACAGCTCTGGCTATGGACTCTGGGAGTTGTACGTCATCAGTGTCATTAGGTCAGACAGGCCCAACTGTGATAAGAGTCACCTGATTGTTTAGGCTTTGAAATTGTCAGAGTCACAGGGACATATAAGATGCAGAGACAGGTGTCCCTGATCTTGACACCAGAAATGTAGCACCAGCACTACCCTCAGGTTACACCTGTGACTTCCTGCAGTGTCTCAAGGGCCCTCTGTGACCAGGAATTCAGTCTGCAGAGCTCAGGGGAGCAGTGGCCTGTTGTTGCAGGACTCAGGCCCTCTGACAGTCACTCCACCCAGAGGACACAGGGCAGCAAACAGTTCTGGGTCTTCAATGAACAGTGACCAGGTTGGACAGGTCACCCATATCTGTGACACCCTATATACTCATATTTTGGGTCAGCAAAGTATTCATAGTGCAGTGGCCATATCTTGTTCTCCGTTTGTTTGCAAGTTGTCTCTGGCTGCTATGGCACCATAAATGTGGAGGTGTGTGGTGCAGGCAAAGACAGAAAGAATCATCCTGCAATGATGATAAATAACATTACTATCTGTCCTTTCTCTAGAAACAGTTTGCAGCCTCCCGCCTAAATCTATGACCATTATATGCTGCTGCCTCCTCAGCAGGTGGAGGTGTGGGTTTGGGACCAAAGAGGAGGGAGAGAGGGCCCTTCTCTACCAGCCTTCCCAGGGTCATACTTTCCTAATCCTGGGTGAGCTGGATGAGGAGCAGTCAGTCCCTTGGGAGGGACGCGCTGAAAGGAGCGCCTGGAGCTGCAGGTTCAGGGAGCTGCCGCAGAGGGCGCTGGTTAGCTCAAGGGCGGGGAGCCCTGGGGATGATGGAGGGTTTGTGCTAAAGTCTTGAGAGCAGGGCAGGGGCTTGTGGCTGTTTGTTGTTGCCGGTGAGTGGAGACGCTGCCGGAGCACTCCCTGTTCTGACCACAGGGGGCGGGGTGGGGGGGGTGGGGGCGGGAGGGGGACGCGCTTGTTCCTATTTTTCCATCTGTAGACTTGTGGGGCTGGGGAGGAGGAGTGCTGGGGCGGGGGGCGGGGTGTTGGGAGTGTGTGGGGTGGGGGTTGGTTCTGTCGGGTGTCAACAGGGCTTGTAGGGTTAGTTAAGGAGGCATCTGTCTTCCTTCTCTCCTGGGCTGGTGCAGGTGAATGGGGGGAGAAAGTGAGTTGGGCTCGCTTGTGTGTGTGTGTGTGAGTGTGATAGATGTGTGTGCGAGAGTTTGAGAGAAGGAGACAGAGAGTATGTGTGTTTGGGGGGGGGGGGTGGGCCTGGAGTTGGGGAGCGCGGGCCGCCAGCGCACCAGTGAGTCGTGCTACCGCCAGTCAAACCGGAGTGGGTGCGGCTGCCCGCGGGAGCAGGCGGGGCCTGGGCCTATGTTTCCGAGCAGGTGTTCCCAGACCTCCCACTCTCCCCCCCTCTCTCCTCCTTCCTCGGGTAACACTTCTTCACTCAGGTGGTCTACTGTCCCCCTCGCTCCGAGTACACAAACGACCCGCACTCCGGAAGAGGCCGCGGGAGGGGGACGACTTCTCGCGGACACTGTCCCGGGCGCTCTGTGCAGGCGCCTCTCCCCGGAGCTGCCGCAGCGTGGCGCTCGGACCCCTGCGCGCCATGGAGCCCACCGGGTCACAGTTGGGTCTCGCCCTGCTGGTCCTGATCCTGCTGCCGGGCTGTCCCGGGGCAGAGGATTCTGTTTGCAATCGGGAGAGTGAGTTTGGGATGTAAACCCCTGGGTGCTTCAGGGGGCGGGGGGCTGGGGGCTGGGGACTGGGGGAGGGAGGGGGAGTAATGGGGCTGGGGGGGCACTAAGTTCGTGGACGGGGACGAGGGACCCAGGGCCGTTCCAGAACCTTCAGGTCAGTGGTGATGCAGCCGCCTCCTTAGCCCCCCGCGAGGGAACAGTTCGGGTCGCCGGCGGGCCAGGTAGTTTGTTTCAGGCTAGAAGAGGGTGGGAAGGAGGGGGCTGGGGGGCGGTGAGGTGGGGCGCGTTCTCCGGGGGAGGATGGAGGAGGGAATTGGGGCGCAGCAAGGAAGGCCGCTGAAGGACACGGACCATCCCCAGGCCGCTCTCCTGCCCAGTTCCCGTCGTCCTCCTGGGGGCCTGGGCGCCCCTGTCCCATGACTGTGGCGTTTCCTGTGTGTCGTCACCCACACACCAGGGCACGCCGAGATACTGTGCTCTCAGGACTTTCCCGGGCAAAACCCCTCCTTCCTCCACACTGCCCTGCCCCCTGAGCTTCCCGTGGGCTCTGCCCGCAGGTGCGCACACCTGCAGCCCGGCCGCTTCACCAGCCGCCTCCCACGGTGAGTCGCTGCCCTGAGCCTGGACCTCCGCGGCCCGGCCGGTCTGCCTGCAGCCCAGGTCACTCCCGCCACTTTCCTGCGGAGTCCGCCCCCAGCCCAGCTCATCCAGTTTTGTTCTTGAGGGTCTGATGTTGGTGCTCATCCGTTTCACTTTATCCAGGATAAAATATTGTTTCGACATTGTGTTTACAGAAAGGGGAAGACAGTTTGAGGATGTTGTACTTAAATTTCCCCACTATGGGAGCCTTCGGTCCCCAAATAGTTCCACAACCACAAAGACTTTTCATTCCTGTAGCAAACCTGGGAAAAGTGAAATGATCGCTGTGTGGGTCTGTGGACCAGCAACCCCTCCGTGGGCAGGACCCGGGGCAGGTGTTTGTTTATTCCCCCACCCCCGGCCTCACTGTAGACCCGGTAACTTATGTCGGACCCACGACCAGAGCAAATGGGAATGTGTGAGAAGCCCCTCCTCCCAGTGCACACCGCCCCAGTGCGGCAAGCCGGCCTGTGGGTGTTTGGGGAAGGAGTTCGCACTCGCACTCCCTGCAGTGCAGGGCGGGGCCCCTCTCATTGCAGCCCCGCCTCTCTGTCTAGTAATGAGTTCTGGGTCTAAGAAGTTGCTCAGCCCAGGGAACTGGCGGAAGGATTCGTTCTTTGGTTGGGAGGCCATTTCAGCCTCCTCCTCGTCCATCCTTATGTCTTGTCTCTGTTTGTTGTAATTATTCAAACCCATCTGTAAGTATCCAGGCTGGGTGTCCATCCATTTTGCATCTCAGATCCCCCTGTGCTCTGAGCCTTAGCCACTGCTCTGTGGTTGAGTCATGTCTCGATTTCCGACCTTCCCAATCGTTTTGAACATCTTACCTCTTCTGCTCCTGACCCAGAGCACCTGTACCTGTGATTTGTTATCTCGACATTCACCACGTCCATGACTGCTGGCAGACATTTTGGGGAACACGGACTCCTACCACCATCCTCACCTTCAGCAAAAGTCATCAGTGAGCTTTCTGAGAATTCTGGCGCTCTCCTCATCCATGCTCTCCACATAGGCTCAGTAAACGAGAGTTGGCTTCAGGCTTCCCCATGGAGCAAGGTTGATGAGACACTTTCCTGCCTTTTCATACTATACCCCGCTTGGCATATTCAATTCTCTGAGCCAGCTGACCCCTTTGTCCACTACCTGCTCAGAAGTTCTGCCTGTTCTGCTCCAGGCACGGTAGCCACACCTTCTGCCAACTTTGCAGGACCCATCCCAGCAGCAGGTTGGCACCATCCGCCAGGGCTGTGCTAAATCATGACCCACAATCCTGAACTCCTCCTTCTCCCACGTTAAGATCTATCCATATCCCCCACCCCACTGTCACTCACCTTCGTCAGGAGCGGCCCCCTACATGTCCCTGTAGGGCCCTGGCTAGTTCCTGACAATCCTCTGGCGTCTAGATTTTTCCTCCATTGCCTCCTGGCACGTCCCTGGATCGGTTGTGGGCTGAGTGATGATGGGTATTGGCTTGGCGGGCAGAGGGGACATGTCTGGAGACGTGTGGTTTCTGGTGTGGCTTCTGCCAGGCAGAGGCCTCCTGGTTTCCCTCAAGCAAGGGAGGGGAGCTCGCCCTCACCTGGTGCAGAGAGGCACCTGACAGGGTCAGTGCTCGGTCTGCCAGCTCAGGTGTCAGGGGGAGTCACTTGTTGGCACAGAGATGGGGGAGATGCTCATGGTCACTTTTCTTTCAACCCACCTTTCACCTGCACTTTCTCCTTCACAGATGCGCCTTCTCTTTGCTATACATTCAATGTCTCTGCCAGTGGACCATCATGGTGTGTGGTTCGAGGCAAGATCAATGGGACCCCATTTTTAAAATATACGAGTAGAAATCTGAAGGCCAAACCCATCGGTCCCCTGGGGATGAGGTTGAGTACCACACAGGCCTGGAATCAACAGGGTGAACATTGGAAGGACCTGGTGGAAGAGCTCCGCAAGGCACTGCTGGACAATAAAGAAAATATTTATGAAGACTTTAGTAAGTTTGCATGATCCAGGGCAGAAGCAGGACAGTGTTGTAGGGGTAGGGAACAGTTGTGTTCATGTAAATATTGGAATTTATTCTACCCAAAAGGCCCAGGTGCCAGGGTAGGACACAGAGGACAGAACAGGACCAAGGGACAGTGGGGGAGCAGAGCGCTGGGTACCAGGTCAAGATGGAAGGCTGACCTCTTTCCCATGGTGGGCGGGGGGTGCAGATTCTCTCTCCCTGCAGGGCAGCATGATGTGTCAGCGGAAATTCAGTGCACACCCCAGGGCATCCTGGGAGTTTGGGGTCAATGGACACAGATGTCTCCACTTTGACTCGAAGAACAGACGCTGGACAGAGTTGCATCCTGGATGTAGATTGTTAAAGGAGACACTGGACAGTGACAGAGATGTGACCAATCTCCTTGTTGGGATCTCACGTGGAGATTGTGCGAAGTTGCTTCATCAGAGCACAGTTCTGGACAGAAAAGGTAACTGTGCAGAAGGGACAAACTTGGAATGACATTGACACTGTGTCTGTGTTTCTGTGTGTTGGTGTGGTTTGAAAATGTGATTCAACTGCACTGAGGTTTTTTTTTTTTTTCATTAAATAACAGCTGCAGGCATGTCCCACATCTCTACTTTCCCCTCTCTCCTGCTTGCACCCCCCCCCGCCCCCCGCCGCGGACACTCCCTGTGGGTTTCCCACGGACCCGGCTCTTCGTCCTGTCCCCGGCGCTGTGCCCTCCTCTCGCATCACTTCTCTCTCCGTCTCCCCTGCTCTGTTTCTGCAAGTCCTTCATCCGCCTCAGATGTCGGCTTCTGTGAGGACCGTCCACCGCCTTCCTCATGTGTCACCTCCTCTTCTGTCACTGCAGGAGGGACTGGGTGTGCTGTGACCCTGCTTCCCCCATTAGCTGCAGGAGCCCAAGGGGACAGGGCCCATCTCCTCTGTTTGTTCCAACCCCGGGACCTGCCACAGTGGCTGCCACAGTAGAGGGGTAGAACCTGTCTGCATCGTAGGGTGACCTGGGGCAGCAGGGCTGAGGGGGCGTCTCCTCATAAATGAGGTCTGGACAAGGCTGACATGCTGGTGTTTCAATCTCAGCTGCACCAACCATGGCCACAACTACATCCCCAGTCCCAGCCCCGTCCAAAGCCATGACCCTCACACACAACATATGGTCTGGATCCTCACTCCAAGTTTTCTCTTAATCCCACTTGGCATCCTAGGCTGGGTCCTTACAGTAACAGGTACAGAGGGCAGAACTGAGTGGGAAGTGAGGGGCCGATGGCCTGCAGTGAGGACAGGGAAGGTGAATTCTACTCCTTCCCCTCCCTGAACCTTCCAGTCCTGGGGATGAGACTAGGAGAATAAGACCAAGTGCCACTTGCCAGCAGTCACGTGGACAAGCTCAGCCCTGAGATCTAATGTCTCCTCACTGTGGGTGCCAGAGGGACAGGCAGGGGCCCACACCAAGGCCTAAGGCCCGCTGGTGCTGCAGGGGTTTAGTGTTCAGTCCTGACTCAGAGTCTCTGTTGGGAGAGAGTGTTTGGGCCCAGGGTGGGTGGTGTGGGGACAGCAGGTGCACAGGGCAGGGCAGTGCTCACATTCAGGTGAGAGCAGCCTGGTGGCTGCATGGGATGTGTCCAGGGGACGGGGACTGTCCAGGGGGCTAAGAGGAGGGGGCCTGGGTCTAATCCCAGGAAGAGGGTGGAGGGACTTGCAGACACAAGTGAGAAGGCTGGAGTTCAGGACTGTGTTCCCAGAGAAAGGGGTTTCAGGACATCAGGCAAGGCAGTGGTTGAACAGTAGGGACTGTTCAGGCTGAGGTTTGGAGGGGCCACTTCTCCGTGGACCACTGAGACTCCTGGCTGAGCCCTGGTGTGACCACCTGGCAGCCAGTCTCCTCCAGACCCCAGATCCTGAGCCCCTGAGGGGCCCTGCCCTGAGCAGAGGTGACTGGGGAGGTGGGTGGGGCTGAGCTGCTGGTGGAGGGGGATGCTGTCAGCTGACTGCAGCAGGAGTGCACGGGGCAGGGCAGGGACAGTGGGTCTCAGAGTGGTGTGCTGGGACCAGGACGAGGAGAGCAGGAGAGAGGAAAGGAAGATGTTTGTCTGCATCCCTCCCCAGTGCTAGAGGATCCAGGATGCAGGCCCCTCTCTACACAGGGCTCCTCATCGGTGTTGTAGAATCAGGACTTCAGTGGAGGGAGCAGAGAGTTCATTTGCTCCTTGAGTCCTCACCCCAGCTGTCCTTAGCTCCTAGGGTCTGACTGTCATGTGTGTGTTTTCTGATGGCAGAAGACACTGCTCAGGAGCTCCTGCGAGTGTGGTCTAGTCCCACACGTGTCCCTTCTCATCGGCTGCGTTTCCATCATCCCCGGGTGCTCAGCAGAAGGCCTCCAGGAGCTGCGATCTTTACAGGCGTCAGAAGATCGTGATGGTACAGCGGATGCCACAGTCACATCCTCTGCTCCATGGAAGTGACATGGAATTAATTTGCTTATTAACTTGTTATCATGCCATATGGTGTCTGGGATAATAGAATGGATACAGTGTGGTATGTGTACAAATGGAACACTATATAAAAATAAATAAGTAATAAAGTGCTACACAAAACCCGGATGACTCAGAGATAAGATGTTGAGAGAAAATGTCGTACACAATGGAACGTGTACTCTATGGTGGGTTCCACTGTATCAGTTTCAAACACAGAGAAAACTGACCACTGAAAATAGAGCTCAAAAGAGTGGACACATTGGGTGTGACCTATGACTGGATACAACAGGCGATTATGCAGGTAGATTTCCTTTTTGTAAATACATCAAACTGACCATTTAAGATTTGTACACTTTCCTGCTGGGAATATTATATTTCAACAAAAAAAAGTTTAATTTTTTTTAAAGTATAGGCTTCAATTTTTGTTAATGTCTTGGCAAATTCACAGTTATCTACTCAGGAGTATTCAATGTTAAATTAGAGCATAAATACAACAAACATGTTTTTGTGCTCTACCACTAAGCATTCATATTTTTAAAAGTACACTTTATTGATTATGCTATTATAGTTGTCCCATTCCCCCCCCTTATTCCCCTCCTCCATGCACCACAGTCCCACCCACATTCCCCCCACTCCTTAGTTCATGTCCATGGGTCGTACATACAGGTTCTTTGGCTTCTCCATTTCCTATGCTGTTCTTAACCTCCCCCTGTCTATTTCGTACCCACCATTTATGTTTCTTGTTCCCTGTACATTTTCCCCCACTCTCTCCCCTCCCCCTGTGATTCTGTTCCTGTTCTAGTTGTTTGCTTTGGGTTTTTTTTTTGTTTGTTTGTTTTTAGGTTCAGTTGATAACTGTGAGTTTGTTGTCATTTTACTGTTCATAGTTTTGATCATTTCCTTTTTCTCAGATAAGTCTCTTTAACATTTCATATAATAAGGGCTGGGTGATGATGAACTCCTTTCACTTGACCTTATCTGGGAAGCTCTTTATCTGCCCTTCCATTCCAAATGACAGCTTTGCTGGATGTAGGTCCTTGCCTTTCACGACTTTCAACACTTCTTTGCCTGCAAGGTTTCTTTGTCTTATGGGCACTCCTGTCTTCATTTCTCTTGCTGCTTTTAAGATTCTCTCCTTATCTTTAATCTTGGGTAATGTAATGATGATGTGAGTTGGTGTGTGCTTTCTTGGGTCCAACTTCTTTGGGACTCTCTGGGCTTCTTGGACTTCCTGGAAGTCTATTTCCTTTGCCAGATTGGGGAAGTTCTTTATTATTTTTTCAAACAAGTTTTCCATTTCTTCCTCTTCCTCTTCTCCTTCTCGTACCCCTATGATTTGGGTGTTGGAATGTTTAAAGTTGTCCCAGAGGTTCCTAAGCTTTTCCTCATTTTTTTGAATTCTTGTTTCTTCATTCTTTTCTGGTTGAATGTTTATTTCTTCCTTCTCCAAATCATTGATTTGAGTCCCAGTTTCCTTCCCATCACTGTTGGTTCCTTGTGCATTTTTCTTTAATTCACTTTTCATAGCATTAACCCTTTCCTCTATTTTGCGACCATATTCAACCAGTTCTTTGAACATCCTCATCACCAAAGTTTTGAACTCTGCATCTGATAGTTTGCCTGTCTCTTCGTGGCTTAGTTGTACTTTTTCTGGGGCTTTGATATGTTCTTTCATTTGGGACATATTTTTTTGTCTCGGCACACCTGTTACATAGAAAGGGGTGGAGCTTTAGGTGTTCACCAGGGCAGGGCAACTACATCACTGCATTGTGATGCTGCATGTGGGGGAGGGGTCTGAGAGGGAACACTGCCTCTGTTCAGCTCTCTGCTGGTTTGCAGTGACTTCCCCTGCTACTCACAAGCAAATTGGGCCCTTGTGGTGCTGATTCCCAGGTGGGTGGGCTTGTGTACGTTCTAGGACCCTGTGGGTCTCTCCAACGAGCTCTCCTATGAGGCTGGGAGTTTCTCCTACCACTGCAACCACTACAGGTTTTTTCAGTCAGAGATTTTGAGGCCTTATTTCCCTGTGCTGGGTTGTGTGGTCTGTCTCTCTCCCTTTTTTGTTCCTCCAGTTTATCCCCACACAAGTGTGGGACTGCCCATTCCACCAGCTGCCACTGCCTCCAGTCCACCAGCTGCCACCTTACCACGAGTCCTCTCCATCCAGCTGCCTGTCTCCGCCGCTCCTACCTGTCTAGATGAGTGTTCCTTCTTTAACTCCTTAGTTGTTGGACTTCCATGCACTTCAATTTTCTGGCAGTTCTGGTTGCTTTTTGTTTTTGAATTTGTTGTCATCCTTCTTTTCATTGTGGGAGGATGTATAGTGTATCTATCTATGCCTCCATCATGGCTGGAAGTAAAAAAAACACCATTCATTTCTCTATTCCACTGTTGTCATCGTCCTCACAGTTTCCTGTCCAGGTGGAACCATGCAGACATCAATGGTTGAAGTGGAGCATTTGAGGAAAGTCAGCAGCTTTGGGGTTGGAGCCGCACTCCTGGGGCTCTGTGTGGGCCCCCAATTAAGATTCCTTCTGATGAGAAAATAATTTACTCTGCCTGTGATTCAAGAAGGAGCAATGCAGTGATGTAAGATATGACTTCAGCCTCTAGCTGCCTAAACAAATAGCAAGGATCTGTGTGTCTCTATTGTAAGAGTGGACCCTGAAGTGCAAAGTAAGCTAGCAGGTAATAGTGTCCAAGCTCGACTGGCAAGTGTGACTGGGTCAGACAAGAGCCCCTGCCCAGAAAGGGCCCAGGTGGGTGGTGTGGTTGCATCAGAAACACACGGAATGAATATACCGGGACCTGGGCAGGGGTGGTAGGTAGCATGGTGGGTGCAGATGAGCTGTCACAAGGAGGGGGATCCTGTCCACAGAGCTGCAGGCACAGGGGTCTGGCTTAATCCCTGGTGCAAGGTGCCTGAGGAGGACCTAACTGCCCCACCCAAGCAGCCTGAGACTAGGCTGCATTCGTGGTAGCCAAGGGCGCTGGGGAGCAGGAGGAAGGCAGAAGACAGTTTGGATCCAGGTGTGAGTGGTGAGGAATTCCAGGAGGCTGGGCCTCCATGGGCCCCTGGGGGTTGGGCCCTCAGGCAGCTTCCCTCTGGTGTTGGGCCTGCTGCTGAGGGGCCGCAGACAGTTCCCAACGTACAGAATCACAAGGGTCAAGCACCCAACAAAAAATTCCTGAACAGCTATAAAGGAAGGAATGGGGCCCATACTCAAGAGAGAAAGGAATCCAAAGAAACTGACTCAGAAGTCATCGAGACCACAGACCAAAGAGTGAAGTTCTACACTCTCCTTACACCCGTAATGGGAGGAAATCTGTTTTTCCTTCTGGCCTTCTGAGCTCTTGGCTGGGACCCCTGTGATAAAAGACAGATTAACATGAGAAACAAAAACAGACGCTTATTAACATGTCTGCCTCCCGTACAGATGGGGCATAGTCCGGGAAAATGAGTAACTCCTGAGACAGCTTGGAACTCAGGATGAAGTATCATCTTAACAGGGAAACGGGGGTGTAGGACTCTTCGGGCAGAGGAATGAGTTTTAGGGAAGATGAGTGGGCCCTTAGAACACCAGCTTTGAGCCAAGAGGGTGTGACCAAGTCTGTCTGGCTGTGAGGTTGGCTTCTCGTCCTCTCCTGTGATGAGTGAGTGGGTCCCTCCTGGATGAAGGAACTTCTGGGAGGGGACAGATCCCAGCTGAATTTCCCAGAGGACCTTTGTTCAGTATGTACAGGGAGTTCAGAGAAAGCCTCGCCTAGCTGCTGCTGTTTTTCCTGTGACGACAGCTCAAAACTGTCAGTATGTGAACACAGCCTGTTTTGGGATGGCATATTCTGCTGTCCTTCACACCGTACTCAAAAATTCACTCAACATGGATCATACGTCTACATATGTTTAGGACATAAAACTGAAAAAATTATAGCATAGGAGTAAATCTTTATGACCTTGTTTGGTAAAACGTTCTTCAGTGTATCAAGAGCATGAATGACAAAAGAAGAAATAGGTTAATTTGACTTCTTCAAAATTTAAAATGCTTGTGTTTCAAAGAACACCAACAAGAAAGTGAAAAGACAACTTCCAGAAAGAAAACATTTTCTTTCCGGATGGGCAACCAGAATATATAATACTTCTTATTATCCTTATCATTATACTTAATAATATGGAGAAACAACCCAACTGAAAATGGACACTTCTGCACAGCAGATGGCACAGGGCCATAGGCGACGGGAAGGTGCTCCAGTCATGAGCGCTTGGGGCACGGACGTCAGAGCCGCAGAGGCACCGCTGCACTCCCACTGGGTGGTGTGACTGTCAGAACGACAGGAGGGGACGGTGCCACTGGGGGCAGGTGGGCTCACTCAGGCCTCCCAGGCGGGCCCCTGCAGAACCTCATGGGTCTAAGCTGTGTTTTGCTCCTCAGAAGCTTTGCCCAGAGACTCTAAGCAATTCCTTCCCCTCAACCCAAAGACCAGGCCTGGGCAGGGAGAGTTTAGCCCCACTTCCTCTCCTCACCTGCCCACACACATTCACGGTGGGAGCAAGGGTGTTCCTGGAAGCATCTCCTGCAGCCTCTCCCAGGAGCCTCTCCCCAGGGCTCAGTTCTGAGTCCAGATCCAAACCCACTGAAGAGATCCTGGGGCTGGAAAAGCCAGCACGGTTGCCATTCCCTTCCCCAGAACCCTCTAGAAGCCCAAGTGCACACGTGAGTGACAGGAGCAGCTCCAGGCTTGTTTCTGGCGGCATTTCCCCATGTTGTTTCGTGCACCAAAGGCCGTGCTCCATCAGGGAAGGCAGCGGGGCAGAAGCTCTGGGTCCTCTTTCTGTGGTGATGCCTCACAGTACGTCCCCCACATGGCCCGGGTGACATTTGTTCTTTTTCTTTATTTTTTTGTAGAAAATAAAGTTTCTATTCACTCTCCAAGAAAGGAGAGGGGCATGGTGTGCAGAGATACACCAGCATTGAAGGGTGAGGGCTCTGAACTTTTTGGATTACACTGGGATTAAAAAAGGGTGAGGGTTGCTTTTGTGCAGCCCCTGGGTCGTTGTGGTAGTTGTGGGGCTGCAGTTTGTTCTGATATCTTCTGCCTGTGGCTGTAGCGGGCAGTCAG